ATTCCATTTCCTTCCTGTGCTGGGTGTGCATGGTTTCCGTCATGTTCCTGAGCTCCTCTAATTTTTAAATCTGTATGTGCTCTAGAGTCACTAAGCATGTCTTTCATTGTGGTCACTAGTTATCTGAGAAATTATTTCTGATTCAGCTTTTTGTAGAGGCTCATTCATCTGCTTTGTTACTTCTGCTGTTACTACTTGAAAGAGTCCAAGGTGACTTTTGGATTGTTCCAGCTCATTACCCCCTCGGTTTGCCTTTAGTGAATTAGAAGTCTGGGTTTGCATCTTGTTTAAGTGTGCTCTCATTTTCTTTGTGTGTTTTTTTTTTTTTTAAGTTTAATTCCTGGGCTAATGCATGTAGATATCTTATGGTGACTTTATTGCTAGTATTTAGAACCCTTAGGAAATGATTGCTTCTCAGAGGTGTCTTCCAGGTGTAGCCGGCCTTTGGGTTTTGAGTCTGTTGCAGAATCCTACGTCTTCAGTTTATTGGAGATGAGAATTTTCTGCCTACTTGCCCCAGCCCTTGGTTCTTTGGCAGTGGCCTGTAGTATTTTTTCAGACCCTTAGGCAGTCTCAGTCTTGGTATACCAGGAAGGACAACTGATTAGCTCAGTTATGTCACCTTGGCCAAAGTGATGAGCAAAAATAACATCAAACAGAGCCTAAAAATGACAAACTGTGGCAACTATTTTTTTTTTGTTTTGATACCAGGGATCGAACTCTGGTCCTTGCACTTGTAGGGCAGGCGCCAGAACCACTGAGCTAAATCCCTGGCCCTGTGGTAACTACTAATTTGCTATCTTTAACTAGATTTGTGTTATATAACAAAATCTAAAACAAACCAGAAATATATTAGCAGTGAATAAGCCCTCACTGTAGCAAATTTACCCTCAGGGAAGAAAATATAAAAGGGGTTAGTGGGGAGAAATAGACGAGATTAGAAACAAGGCTAGAGGACAAAGGAAGATCATACAAACTGGGAAAGTGGTGAAGAAGACAGGAGAGAGAGAGAAGGAAGAAATAAAAACAAGAATAAAACAAAACAAAAAAACCTAGAAACGAAAAAAAAAAAACAATAAAACAAAACAAAAAAACCTAGAAACGAAAAAAAAAAACACCTAGAAACTATTCACACTATATAAAAATAAGAACAAACAGCTGGGGATTTAGCTCAGTGGTTCTGCTGCCTGTCTCGCAAGCACAAGGACCCAAGTTCGATCCCCGGTACAAAAAAAAAAAAAGAACAAACAAAAAACAAAAGAGACAAATGAAAAAAAGAAAAGAAAAAAATTCTTTAAATGTCCATTTCAAGGCATGTGTTTGTCACTGCTAGGCAATGTGGGTAGACAGAGTCTAGATCTGAGTTGATTAATCCCAGTGAGCCAGCGGTAGCTTTATAGTGGTATAGTGGATAATCCCAGCAAGTGTAGGATAATCCCCTACACTTTTAGTTCTACTGAAGTTTAGGCTGCATCCTGGCTGTGAGGCTGGAAATGGACCTATGGAGCCTGCAACAGTCTGTGATCCCCCTCACTGGCTCAAACTGAGCTCCATGACTTCCTGCGTGTTTGAACTCACACTGACACTGGAAGGTACTAGATGGAGCTGGTCTGCAGCTGTTCTGTGAGCTCAGTTGGCCCCTCTCCAAGATGGTTACTGGCATATTGCTCTCTCCTGAGGGATGTCCAAACCCCAACAACTCACCAACCACTGCAGTCTGCTATGTCCACCACTCTGATGTACTGGTGGGTTTCTCTATGGAGGTCTCTAGGGTTGCCAGTAGTCACAGTTCGTCTGCAGGTTTCAGTTGCCCTTCCCATGCAGCAAGTCTAGGAAGGTGCTGCCACCTGTTACATCCTCCTCCTCTGTTGGAGACTCTCTGCACTCTCTTTGTGGGCTTCAGTTCTTGCTAGAGGGCTGGGGATTTAGCTCAGTGGTTCTGCTGCCTGCTTCCCAAGCGGAAGGTCCTGAGTTTGATCCCCGGTACCCCTCCAAAAAAACCAAAACCAAAACCAAACAATTCTTGCTTGAGATCCTTCCTGGGTCCCAGGGACCCCATTTCCCTCCTCCTTCTCTTCCTCACATTGCTTTATTTCAGTGTCTGGACAGCAGACCTTGGAGAGGCCATCTCTCTGCTGCTCACCGTTCCACCATCTTCCTGGAAGTCTCCACAAGATGGTTGCAGTATTGAAAGTGTACAGGCTTTTTTTCTGTCATTCCCAAACAATGTAATAACTATTTGCATAATCCCTTTTCTCCTTGCTGAGACAAAATACCTGACTCCCATAAGTTAAAGGAGGAAAAGTTTAAGCTCAGTTTGTAGAAATTTCAGTCCATAGTCAGCTGGCTCCATGCCAGGGTGGCATAGCCAGAGGGGCATCACAGAGGAGGAGAAACAGTTCATGGTGTGGCAGGCAGAAGACAGTAATCAGCAAGCCTGCTTTCTTTGTGTCCCTTTACCATCCAGGCTATAAGCCTATTGATTGGTGCCAACCACATCCAGGGTAGGACTTCCCATAACCCACCCCCAGAACAATCCTATACCAGTCAGTGGACCAATCAGTTATCACACTGTTAATCCACATCCATGCACCCTAAATATAGCCACCTCTGAAAAGCCTCACCTGTGAGCACATGGGGCATTGGGACATCTAGATACAAGCCATAACAGTGTTTACATGGACCAATATTAGATATTATAAATCTAGAGATAACTTACAGGTTATAGGAGGATATAGTTTTCATGGGTTATATAGAAATACTGTGACATTTTATTTAAGAGATTTGAGTATCTCAGGTCTTACTTTATTTTATTTTATTTTTTTGAGACAGGGTATCACTATGTAATTCAGGCTGACCTTGAACTCACTATGTAGTCTAGGCTGACCTCAAACTCTTGGTGATCCTCCTGCCTTAGCCTCCTGAGTGCTGGGATTACAGGTGTGTACCACCATACCTGGCTCAAGAATGTTTTGAAATTTGCAGAATAGTATACATTTTCACTGATTAAATTTATTCTTAAGTACTTTGTTCCTTTTGGTGCTATTATTTTTTTATAGCAAAACATTTATTGGTACATTTTAGGCATACATAATGATAACACTCATCATAGGGAATTTGCAGTTTTGGTGCTATTATAAAGTGGAATTATTTTAACTTCATTTTTGGTTTGTAACTAATTTGTATATATGGATCTTGTTTTGTATATTGCTGCTGAACACTCTAGTAGTATTTTAGTAAATTCCTTGGGATACCCTGTAACAGGATCATATCATCTGCCTTTTTTTCTTGTTTTCTTACCTAACTGCCTTGTCTAGACTCTGGCCTAGTGTATGGGAGGGATAAGAGCAACACCTTTTCTGTCCTGACTGCAGGAGGAAAGCGTGCAGTCTGGCACTGTTAAGTAGGATGTTAGCTGAGTTTCCCATAGCTGCCCTTTATCAACCTGAGGAAATTCCCCTTTTTTCCCCTCATTTGTTGAGTGTAGTTTTTAACTGGAAATGGGTATTGGGCTTATTTTTTCTATGTCTGTTGTGATGATCATGTGGAGTTTTTCCCTTATTATAGTATATTACATTGAGTTTTGTGTGTTGAACCATTTGGTTATGATTTGTAATCTTGATATAGTGCTAGGTTCAGTTCACTAGTATTTTTTTGAGAAATTTTGTAATATATTGCTAAAGATACTGGTCAGTAATTTATTTGTAATCTCTGGTTTTTGTGTCAAGATAATTTTGGCCTTGTAGGACAAGTTGGCAAGTGTTTTCTTCTGGTTTTTGGAAGAGTCAGTATTCTTAGTTTGGCAGATTTCACCATCTTGTCTTGAGGTTTTCTTTGTGGGAATTTTTTATTACTAATTTGAAATCTTGTTAAATGTCTGCTCAGATTTTCTGTTTCTTCTTATGTCAGTGTTGATAGCTTGTATCCTTCTAGAAATTTGTCCATTTCATCTAAGTCATCCAATTTGTTGGCATACATCTATTCATAGAATTCATTTTTATTTCTTTTCACTGATCTATTTAAAGCTAAAATTTTTCATTTGATCATTCAGCTATATCCCATAGGTTTGCTTGTTTGTTGTTGAATGTGTTTGTTTTGGTGGTACTGGAGATTGAACCCAGGACCTTTGCACTGAGCTACATCCTTGTTTTGAGACAGACTCTCACTAAGCCATTGTGTTGCCCAAGTTGGGCTTGAACTTGACTCCTGCCTCACCCCTCCCAGAGCTGGAATTACAGGCGTGTACTACCATGCCAGGTTAACAATTTTATTATTATAAAGATACATATTGTTTATCGTATTTATTAAGATGTCTATTTATTATAATTTCCCACTGTGACTTTGTCATATTCTCTTACAGTGTTACACTTTCCCCACCCTCAACATACCTTTGATTCACAAAGCATAGAAGACTTATTTTGGCATGATTTATAGAGGTTCTGATGTAGTCTGTTTTGTCTTAGCAATATTTATTGAGTAATTCATGATTATACTTGGAAGGCATCATTTTGGCACTGGGAACAGATCAGATCACCTAGGAACAAGTTGATGACGAAGGTCGTGTGGTAACTGCCTGCTGGGGCTGTGTCATGGACCCAGAGGATCAGCCCCATTTGGTTCCACATTAGGACTGGCCCAGCAGCTGCTTCTGGAGCAGGGGCCAGGGCTTCACATTTGCAGGGCACAGTGCTTTTCCTCTCCTTCCCATCTTCCACTTTGGCTGTATGACCCACACCACCTCTCACCCCAAGCCATGGCCTTACTTCTGTTGCTGAGGTGGTGCAGAGTGCCTCCCACCCACCATCCCACTCATTCTGTCTGATCCCGATGGGAATTCTGAAAGTGGCCTGGCGGGCAAAGATGTGTTGTTCCAGGACTGATTTCTATTGCTTGTGACCTCTTGGGGGCATCTGGCCAGCAGGGAGGATCTGTAAATTGAGGCATCACAAGGAAGTACCTCCTCATTGGCTCTCTTGCCCTGACCATGTTCTGTTCCACAGAGGGACTTGAACTTGCTTGATTCCAGAGACACTAGGATTGGGGATGGGCGGAGCTGTTCAGCAGTGAGGAGCAGTCACCCGTATCTGGCCAGATCTGCCCCGAAGAGCTCAGCCTACAGTGAGTGGTGGGCAGGTGGGATATAAATCCTGGTTTGGGACTCGAGAGTCACTGGCCTGAGGGTATCAACCCTCGTGTCTGTGTCCCTGCAGAGAGCTGTCACTGTCCTGAGGTCCTGTATTCAGTGCAGTCTCAAAGCCTCCACCTGTTTCTTGCAGGCTGCAGAGGCTCCCTGGGCAGTTGCTGCTGTTCCCTATCCAGTCTGTCTAGCTTGGGGACCTGCTTCTCCTCCTCCTACCAAGATCTGGCCAAGCACATCGTGGACACTTCTATGGCTGATGTAACTGCCCACCTCTTCCTCACCACTGCGTTACCCAGACCTCTGCAGGGGGAGGGAAGGGGAGGGGTGGGAGGAGCTGCACAGATCAGGGGCACCAGGGCTGTGGTGTCCTCCGTGGCTCTGTCTTGAGAAATGGGGCATTCACTGACCTAGGGGCCTGGTGTGCATGCTGCCTGCTCATTTAGTATGGCCCCTGTGTCCCCAGGTAATGGCTGCCTGTTCAGATAATCTGCACAACCTCTTCAGCCGCCAGGCAACATCTGGCTGGAAGTAAGTCCCTTCTAAGTGTCTGAGTTCCACCCTTGTCTTGCTTGTCTTCTCTTCCTCTCCCCTTCTTTGCCCAGCTTCCCAGGATCCCAAACTCTGAGCTCCCCCTCTCTGCCTTGGAATCCATTGTTTTGTTTTTCTGGTCCTGGGGATTAAGCCCAGAGCCTCCACCCTGGGCTACATTCCCACCCCTTTGTAAAAGTTTTAGACAAGGTCTCACTATGTCACTAAATTGACTGGGCTGAGCTCAAACTTGTGATGTTCCGCCTCAGCCTCTCAAAGTTCTGGAATAACAGGTATGCACCACCATGCTTAGCTGGAACCATTTTTTTTAAAACCTCTTCCTCTTCTGATCCTTGGTGTCCTCCAGGTATCAAGGTGAGGAGCAGGAGGTGCAGCTTTACTACAAGGAGTTTTCTTCTACTCGGCATGGCTTCCTGGGGGCAGGTGTGGTGGCCCAGCCTCTGTCTCAGGTGTGGGCAGCTGTGAGCGACCCGACCCTGTGGCCCCTGTATCATAAGCCTGTCCAGACAGCAAGGCTGCATCAGCGGGTGACCAACAGTATCAGCCTGGGTGAGCCCGGAGGAGGGAGGCCTCTGGGGGCCGGGTTTCTGATGTGTGCAGTGGGCTCTGGCTGGGGACTGGGTGGAGGGTGGAGGCAGCCCACTTCTCAGGCTACCCTAGAGTGCTCAGTCTTGCTTTTGTTAGGTGTCAAGTCAGGGAATAAAGAAGGTTGTAGGCAGAAAGGACTCAGGAGGTCTGCCCGCAGCTCCTGACTGCCTTGCCCTGCCTCTCCAGTGTACCTGGTGTGCAATGCCTCCCTGTGCGTGCTGAAGCAGCCACGGGATTTCTGTTGTGTCTGCGTGGAAGCCAAAGAGGTGCCTGCCTCACTAGTGGTAAAGGTGTCGGGAGAATGTGGGCTGGAGTGCTGTGAGAAGCAGCATGGGCACTGGGTCCTATGTGGGAAGGAGAGCACACTGGGGCTGGGGCCAGGGCAGGGGCAGCTTGGAGGCTAGCCCAGCATTGCCTCCACCATGCTCACTGTAATGAGCCTGTCCCTCGACCCCCATCTCTGTCCACAGGGGCACCTGTCTGTCATGGCGGCTCAGTCTGTGTATGACACGTCCATGCCAAGACCCAGCAGAAAAATAGTCCGTGGGGAGATCTTACCCAGTGCTTGGATCCTGCAGCCTGTCACTGTGGAAGGGAAGGAAATGACCAGAGTCGTCTACTTGGCCCAGGTGATACTGGCTTCACAGGACATGTTGGGATCTCTGTCCTTTTAGGCAGTGCCCTTCAGTGGCTAGGCCCTTTGCCTGATAGCTGGAGCCTCCAGGCTTCTGGGGCACGCAGTGGGGAGTGAGAGGGGGAGAGTGAGATAGTCTGCCAGCCTTTCTGGTATTGCTAGTACCTGCATCCTGTGGCTGACTCCAGGGTCCTTAGACTGTAGATGAATCATTGCAAGTAAGAGCAGCAGCCTCTAAGCTGGGTGCAGTGGTGCACACCTGTAATCCCAGCACTCAGGAAGTTGCAGCAGGAGGATCTCGAGTTCAAGGCCAGCCTGGACAATTTAGTGAGACCTTGTCTCACTCCCTCCCCTACAAAATAGAAACCTTGGCAGAGCAGAATCACCCTTCATCCATTGTATTGGGCTCTCCACTTTCAGTCTCGTGACTCAAGGTTTGTCATTGGGAAATGAGAGCTGATGCTAAGCTCTAGCAGCAGAGCCCGGGGCTTGTAGACACCAGGCTAGTGGGGTCTGGTACACCTCCCATTGCCCCGGCCAGGGCAGCTGTAGGGATGGGAATGCCCTGGCACCTTCAGGTCTGTTTCCACCTCAAACTCTTCCTGCTTGCTTTCAGGTAGAACTGGGTGCTCCAGGCTTCCCCCCTCATCTCCTGAGCTCCCTTATCAAACAGCAGCCCCTGATTGTGGCCAAGCTGGCTTCCTTCCTTGGCAGCTAGTGTTGCACGTCAAGATAGTGCTGCTGAGCTGATGCCACAGCCCTGAGGTGAGAGGCTTCCTGTGGTGGCCAGCTTCACAGATGGCACTAGCCCAGAGTTGCCAGTAAGGCTGGGTCAGTCCTTGATCACCTCTGGCACCTCTGCATTGAGCAGCCTGGTTTCCTGGTCCTGGCTGTCCAGAGAATGAAGCTCAACTCATCTTTTGGATTTCCCACCTTGATTTTGGTTTCTGGGACTTGGCCATCAGAGCTGGGGAACTTCGGTGCTTTGGTGAGGTGCCTCCTTATTCTTGCCCTGGGCTCTGGAAGAACTGGCATGAAGTGAGCAGCCACTGGCCAGGACTCTACTCTCCATCTGCCTTCCTCCCTTCCAGCAGGCAGCTGCCAGGTGGGGGAATCAGAACCAAAGCAGAAAGAGGGCTTTTAAAAAACAGCTGCCCAAACCAGAATGCTAATTCAGAATCTTTTCTCCCTGTTGGATTTTTGCAAAGTGCTTTACTATTTATTCATTTTGCCTTTTCTTCCGTTTCCTTTCCTCCCGGAGGAAGGACATGTGGATCTTTGGGAGAGCCAGGGGCATCAGGGGAGAAATGGGCTGGACAGATCTGGGGTAGGGCTTGGGGCTGCCTCTTTGAGGAGCAGTGGGAGTGGCTGCTTCAGTTTCAGACTAAAAACTGAACTCTGAAGATTGGAAAGGAGGTGCAGACAGAGGAGATAAAGGAACTGTCAGGAGGGAGCTGCTCTGGCCCTGCCTCTGCTAAGACAGGGTGGAGGTGAGTTTGTGCTGATTCTGTTTCCCTGAAGTAATGATGGGGGAGACTGCAAATCTCAGTCATATGGGGACTCACTGGATGTGGGCAGAAAGGGTCAATCTCTGCAGTGCAGCAAGGATTTCTGCTTCTGAGAATGTTCTCAGGGCTTTCTTTTTCTCTTACCTCAGATTAAGTTATTTATTTATCATTGAAAGTTTTTAAAACTTGGTTTTAAACTTTTTTCTGATTTTTTGGTTACACTTGATAAAATTAATGCCCTACTTGTATGTTGCCATCTCTTCATATAAATCTCTTTACTAAGACTGTTGACCAGCAAGATCAGAATGTCGGTAAATCTAAAGTCCCATTTGTACTTGTGGGAAGGTGGTCCATCATTTGAGCCTGGCAGGATTTGGCCTGTCTCATGGCCCACACTCCTGCAGTGCAGCTCGCCTGTGTACTGCCTACTTCCCCTTAGTGCAGAGCCACTTCGCAGTCAAAAGCAAGCAGGCTTCTTGCTCAGGCCCACATGAAAGAGTAAGCAGACACCTTAAAGCTGGAGGAGGCTGAGGCATAGACCCAAATGAAAGGACAGCTCATGGTGACATCGTTTCCCTTCCATCCCAGCCTGAGTCAGCAGTGTGAGTACAGCCAGCCCTCACCTGTGTTCATCTGTGCCCTCAACCAACACAGATTGGAAATATTGGAGGGAAACTGTCATTATTTTCTAACAGTACAGGATAACATCTATTTACACACAGCCTACCTTGTAGTAGGTATTATAGGGGTTTTTTTTTGGTACCAGGTATCAAACTCCAGACCTTGTACTTGCGAGGCAGGCGGTGGCACCACTGAGCTAAATCCCTGGCCCTGTAGTAGGTATTATAAGTAATCTAGAAATGACTCATACAATACAGGAGGAAAAAAGAAAAGTATAGAGGAGGATGGTTGTAAGTCACTTGCAAATATTGTGCCATTTTATGTAGGGAGTCTCAGAACCAGCCCTCAAAGTTAGTGAAGGCTGGTTGGATTGAAGGTCATTTTGTAGCAAATCACAAGTGACCATTCAGCTAAATGCAAAACTGGATTTTGGATTACATGAGTGGTTCTTAAACTTTGGCATTCAACAGAATCACTTACAGGCCTTCTTACACTCTGGGCTGGGCACCACCGACCCCTCAGTGAGCTGGGGAGAGGCCGATCTGGATCTCCAGGAAGTCCCGGTGATGCTGAGGCTGATGGTCTAGGGGCTGCTTTGAAAACTACTGGTCTAGCCAATTCAAGAATGCAGATCTATAGGAAGGAATCTGACCTCCTCACTGGTTCAATAGTTTCCTATCTCCACAACCCTTAGAGTAGACCAATAGATGAAGTGTTTCTTTCATTGCGACCATACAGGCACCCCAAAAACCTGGTTTTAACTCAGTGGCCTTTACACGCCCAGCATCCTTGGGGGCTTCAGGCTTCCCTGAGCACATCAAAAAGTGGCTGTAAGCCTGTTTACTCTCAGCAGGGCTTGGCTTTGCTGTGGTTTAAACATATCATTATGCTCGGCACTGGGCACAGAAAGCAAAAACACAAGCCTGGCACGATGATGCACACCTGTAATCCCAGCACTCCAGAGGCTGAGGCAGGAGGATCACTTTGAGTTAAAGGCCAGCCTGGGCTACTGAATTCACTATGAAGCCCAGGCTGTCTCAGACTTGTGGCACCAATCCTTCTGCCTCACTCAGACTCCCAACTGCTGAGATTACAGTGTGTGCTACCACACCCGGCATGAAAAACACATTCCTTAAAACTTTTTTGAGGGCTGGGCATGTAACTCAGTGGCACTGCATGTGCCTAGTGTAAAGGCTTGGGTTCAGTCCCCGGGACAAACTTGATTATAAGGCATTCAGAACAAATTGGATTTGAAGGACAAAGATAAAGGCTTTTGACAATGAAGAGATTCAGCAAAAAGGTTCAGATGCAGAAATTTTAAAGGAGTGGCATGGACTGACTGGTGGGCCGTAGTGAGTAGGGAGAAGTGTGACTGAGAAACTGTCCTCTCTCTGGCTTGCTGTGGTCGCATGGGGAGATCTGTCTGGTCCCCAGAAATCTGGGTCAGGGACCTTTCTGACAACTAGGAATTTTTTTCCCCTAAGAAATGTTGCATACACAGATTTTGCAAGCCACTTAAAAGAGCTTCAACTGAGTACCCAATACTTTCCCCAACACAGCCTGTGTCTTACTCTCCTCACAGAAAAACAAATGTGTAGAAATGAACTTAATGCACATTATCTAAGTAATGCTCTTTGTCAAAATCACTGGTTCATTTAGAGACATGGTCTTGACAATCCGGAAATAGAATGCTTTTTGTTCTGAGCTAAACCTGACACCTGAGAAGTTGTCACACCACACAGCTTGCCAGGGAGGACCCTGTATTCTAACCTTGTCTCCTGTGCCTAGGGGAGCTGTACATCGGAGGACTCTGCAGAAGTCAGCAGCAGACAGTCCTGCAGTGCTGGTTCTGCATGCAGGGTGTAGGGAGGCAGCTGGTGAGCTACGATTCTAGCTCCCAGATCAGAGCCCCATGTAGTAAAGGAAGACACTAGGGAAAACAGCTGTCAAGCCCTTGTTAAAAGTTTATTTTAAAAAAAACTCAACCTTCTGCCCTGTCCTTGGTCCCTGGATGGAAAGAGTCTGAAGAGTTACAGGGCAGCAGAGGGCAAAGGTCCAGATCATGGTATGTTTCGGCCAGTGGGTCTCACCTTTTCTGTGGTGCATATGGCAGCATAGCTCCTGGTGTAAGATGTTGCCTCCCAAGATCCATGTTTTAACTTTCTTCCCAAGTTAAGCAAAAGTCATTTGCCTCTGTCATGACCCCAGGTTGGAGATGCTGAGATTGCAGCAGGCAAAGCTGGTATACTGTGTTGACCAGCCTACACTCATTTCTCTTAGCATCCGGGAAATACCAGCTCTTCTACTCAGGACTGGAGTCTCGAGGCTTCTCCTTCAGGATGTGGCCACAAGCCTCCAGTCTGTGGACAGCCCCATGCCACACACTTTCTGCTCCATTGGGCAGACCCCACTTCTCAGCCACAGTGGGTCCCTGAGTCTCCTCCTAAGGTACAGGCAGGATCCCTAGCTCTGGGCCAGCACTGTTCCCCGGCTTGGCTGCACCAGCTCACAAGTTCTTAGCTGAGGTTCTGGCAAGTGGGGCTCAGTTAGAAACAGGCGAGACAGTGTTGCTAATTCTTCAGAGAAGTCCTGCAGTAAGGACAAAGATGACAGGAAAGGCAGACATGAAATGCCTGAAGATCAAGCCCTAGACAGGGAGCAGATGTGCCCCAAGTGTCCTCTGTACTGAAGGGGGCGTGTGACTGTCTTACTAGTATTTTGGGAAGTATACGTCACAGCTGGGTGAACTCTGGAGGCAGCTGTACCTATCCATCTGCCTGTGCGACTGTTAGCAGTTTAGTACACAGTATCTCATCTTGAAACTAGTCCCGTTTTATGAGTGAAGAAACTACTTTGCCCAGAATCA